GTGTGTGTGTGTGTGTTTCTGTGCTTCGGTCGTTCGTCTGTCGTGTGAAACACAATCTTCGATCAGTAAGTTTACTTCTTCTGTAAGACCATTCAACTTATGTGATTAGTAACGGGATCCTATGTGGCGAGAGAGAGAGAGAGAGAGAAAGAGAGAGAGATCATTGCACATGTGTATGTGAACATTTGAATGGAGTTTTGGATTGCGAATCAATCGAGCATATGACAGTTGTTTATGTCCTCTAAATTTATTTTTTTGTGTTCGTTTTTCATACTGGTCTCTGGAATGTGCTCTTGGATTTAGTGAGTTGTGGTTACTATACCAGTGTGCTATGGTTTTCGTTTTTTTGTGTGGACCGCGTTTTTCAGATTGACCTCTTCATACGTAACAACAGCTCTATCGGTTTTCCAAGTCGGCAGTTAAGACGTGCTATTGTTTCCAAGGTCAGTCGCATGCCGTTTTCTTCACCATATTCCATATAGTGCTTATGACTAAAGTGCTATTTTTATGGTTCATGCGATTTAAGTATGTGAGTCCGCAGTTGGAGTGGGGAATTCAACTCAAGACCGGGAATCATGAAACATGGGATTGGGGATCCTGATAGGAACATATACCACGGACTAAACACGAGGGCTCCTGATATACCGGGAATCACGGAACATGGACTTGGGGCTCCTGATAGGAACATACACCACGGACTGGAGCTCCTGATAGGAATCAGGCTTTCTTGGACTTGGGTTAAATGGCGTATTTGGATTTTGGGGTCTGGTCGTGATGGGTTGGGTTATGGTCAAAGGTCTTGTTATGATGGTTTGGGTCAAATGGCCTATTCGGATCTCGGGTGAAGGTTGAGGCGTGAAAGGTCTGTGTCACGGTCTGGGTCACAGGTCTATGATAGAGTCTTGATTACCGGTGTGGTCTGCGATAGAGTCTTGATTACCGGTGTGGTCTGCGATAGAGTCTGTAACAAGGGTTGGATTAAGGGTAGGGTGTGGTAGTGATGCGTTGGGTGATGTTTGATAGAGTCTGTAACAAGGGTTGGATTAAGGGTGTGGTAGTGATGCGTTGGGTGATGTGTCTTATTCTGGGTTTGGGGTGAAGTGTTTGTATGAAGGAGTGGGCCACAAGTCTGTAACAGCGTTTGGATTACAGGTCTGGTTGCCTCTTAGTCACATGTTTGTGTAAGGGTCCAGAGGTCTGGTTGCCTCTCAGTCACATGTCTGTGTAAGGGTCCAGGTTACATGTGAGTGTAAATGTCGAGGTCACAATTTTTTAACTGGGTTTGGATTACAGTTTTGGTCATAATGTATTTGTCAAGTGACATATTTTGAGTGGGTTAAAGGTCTGTGTTAGAGGCTTTTTAGGGTGGTGATGATTTCTATTTAACGGGGTCAGGGTTTGAGTCATAAGTCTGGTCGTGATGGCTTGGGTGATAGTCTAAAGTCTTGTTGTGATGGTTTGGGTTAAATCGCCTATTCGGATCTCGGGGTCCGGTCGTGATGGCTTATGGTCAAAGGTCGTGTTATGATGGTTTGGGTCAAATGGCCTATTCGGATCTCGGGTGAAGGTTGAGACTTCAAAGGTCTGTGTCATGGTCGGGTCACAGGTCTATGATAGAGTCTTCTTTACCGGTGTGGTCGTGATGATTTTTTTCAACTGATTAATCTTCATTACAAGTGTGCCCGTGATGATTTGAGTCAACTGATGTGGGTTATGGGTCAGAGCTCAGGCATTGAAACTATGCGTCACAGGCCTGTGTCTGGATGTTAGTCACAGGTTTGTAATTGGGTTTTCATTACAGATGTGGTCGTGATCCCTTGAGATCCATTGAGGGACTGAAGTATATAAATTCCTTGGCCAAAGGTCTGTGTCAAGGTTAACCGGTATTAGTTTATGCTCAGGGTCACAGGTCTATGAGGGTCTCCATCGGAGGTTCTCTCAATTGCCCTATTGTATTGCCTGCGGATCAAAGGTCACTGTTAGAGTTTGGGTCGTACGTTCGGTTCTGATGTCAGTTTGGTTGAGAGGAATTGTTTTATGGTCTGGTTTCCATATTTTTCCTCTTCTGAAGCGCTGACAGCCCATGACAACATTGATCATGCTTTGGTTGGCATGATCTTGTGTTGTTTAATGGACGTGATAGACCATGCTCTGGATGGCATGGTTGTTCTCATCCTTAGGCGTTGAAGGGATGACCATGACGTGGTTATCATGACAATGTCTGTCACCTACCAAGCTCAACATCAATCCTTAGGCAGTACTCATTCATGGCCAGTCGGTGAAGGGTGTGGGTGCAGGTTTGGTCGCGAGGCTTTATAGTCAGCGGTTTGCTCTGGGTAGACTATGCTATTTTGGGTTACGGGTTATAACTCAGGCTTTTAAGCTATGCGTCACGGGTCTGTGTCAAGATGTTCGTCACAGGTATGTAATAGGGTTTTCACTTCGGGTCAAAGATCTGTGTCCAGGTTCGTCTGACATGATAACCATGTCAATATTTTAGGTCGTATGTTTGGTTCTGATGGTACTTGGGTAAGGAATTGTTTTATGGTTTGGTTTCCATGTCTCTCCTCTTCTTAAGCGCTGACAGCCTACGACAACATTGGTCATGCTTTGGTTGGCATGATCATTTGTTGTTATGGATGTGAAAGACCATGCTCTGGAAGGCATGGTTGTTTTCATCCTTAGGCGGGCGCTGAAGGCATGGCCATGACTTGGTTATCATGACAATGTCTTCCATTTGCCCAGCTATGTGTCACAGGTTTGTGTCAGGATGTTCGTCGCAGGTTTGTAATACGATTTTCGCTCCGGGCCAAAGGTCTGTGTCAAGGTGAAGTGGAATAATTTAGGCTCAGTATTTTAGGTCGTACGTTTGGTTCTGATGCCAGTTGGGTTGAGAGGAACTGTTTTATGGTTTGGTTTCCATATCGAAAGACCATGCTTTGGATGGCATGGTTGTTCTAATGCTTAGGTAGGCGCTGAAGGCATGACCATGACTTGGTTGTCATGACAATGTCTTTCAGTTACCCAGCTATGTATTACAGGTCTATGCCTGGTCGTGATGCCTTGAGCCAATAGAAGTATGTACATTTCTGGGTCAAAGGTCTGTGTGAAGGTTAAATGATATCGTTTAGGTTCAGAGTCATAGGTCTGGTCAGAGTCACAGGTCTGGTACTTTCTGCTTAGGCAGTCCTCATTCATTGACAATCACTGAAGGGGGTGGGTACAGGGTTGGTCGTGAGGCTTTATGGTCAGTGGTTTGCTCGCGATGCTTTGGGTGGACTGTCGTATTCTGGGTTACAGGTTATTTTGATTTTGAGTCCTCGGGTCCAGCGTCACAGGTTTGTGTTGGGGTGTCCGTCAAAGGTCTGTAATACGGTATCGACTACAGGTGTGGTCGTGATGCTTTGAGTCGACAAGCGTATGCAAATCTTTGGGTCAAAGGTCTGTCCAGGATGTTCGTCACAGGTTTGTAATACGGTTTTCGCTCCGGGCCAAAGGTCTGTGTCAAGGTGAAGTGGAATAATTTAGGCTCAGTATTTTAGGTAGTACGTTTCGTTGTGATGCCAGTTGGGTTTAGAGGAATTGTTTTATGGTTTGGTTTCCATATCTTTCCTCTTCATAAGCGCTAACAGCCCACGAAAGACCATGCTTTGGATGGCATGGTTGTTTTAATCCTTAAGCAGGCGCTGAAGGCATGACCATGACTTGGTTATCATGACAGTGTCTTCCATTTACCCAGCTATGTGTCACAGGTTTGTGTCAGGATGTTCGTCACAGGTCTGTAATACGGTTTTCGCTCCGGGCCAAAGGTCTGTGTCAAGGTGAAGTGGAATAATTTAGGCTCAGTAATTTAGGCCGTACGTTTGGTTCTGATGCCAGTTGGGTTGAGAGGAACTGTTTTATGGTTTGGTTTCCATATCTTTCCTCTTCATAAGCGCTGACAGCCCACGAAAGACCATGCTTTGGATGGCATGGTTGTTCTAATGCTTAGGTAGGCGCTGAAGGCATGGCCATGACTTGGTTGTCATGACAATGTCTTTCAGTTACTTAGCTGTGTGTTACAGGTCTGTGCCTGGCCGTGATGCCTTGAGCCAATTGAAGTATGTACATCCCGGGTCAAAGGTCTGTGTGAAGGTTAAATGATATCGTTTAGGTTCAGAGTCACATGTCTGCTGATTACTTTCTGCTTAGGCACTTAGGCAGTCCTCATTCATTGTCAGTCACTGAAGGGGGGGGGGTACAGGGTTGTCGTGAGGCTTTAGGGTCAGTGGTTTGCTTGCGATGCTTTGGGGGGACTGTCGTATTCTGGGTTACGGGTTATTTTGATTTTGAGTCCTTGGGTCCAGCGTCACAGGTTTGTGTTGGGGTGTTCGTCAAAGGTCTCTAATACGATATCGACTACAGGTGTGGTCGTGATGCTTTGAGTCGACAAGCGTATGCAAATCTTTGGGTCAAAGGTCTGTGTCAACGTCAACCGTTAAAGTTTAGGCTCAGGGTCACAGGTCAGTATTCGGGTTCCGGTTGCACGTCTGGTTCCGATTTCAGTTGGGTTGAGAGGAATGGTTTTATGGTTTCATTTCCATAGCTTTCCTCTTCTTAAGCGCTGACAGCCCGCGACAACATTGATCATGCTTTGGTTGGCATGATCTTTTGTTGTTTATGGATGTGGAAGACTGCTGTGTACGGTATGGTTATTCTCATCCTTAGGCAGGCGATGAAGGCATGACCATGATTTGGTTGTCATCACAATGTCTTTCAGTCACCCAGTTGAACCTGGATCCTTGGGCAGTCCTCATTTGTTCCCAGTCACTGAAGGGTGTGGGTACAGGTTTGGTTGCAATGCTTGGTTGGCAATGCCTTATGCTTAGTTGTTCGCTCGCGATGCATTGGGTAGACTATCCCTTTCTAGATTAGGGGTTGTAGCTGAGGCGTGGAAACCATGTGCCAAAGGTCTGTATGAGGGTGCCGGTCATATGTATATAACAGGGTTTCGATTGCAGGTGTGGTCGTGATGGTTTGAGTCAATAGACCTATATAGATCTTCGGGCCAAACATATAGTTTAGGTTAAGTGTCACAGGTTCATGAGGGTCAGCATCGGAGGTTTGACCTTGCTAATTCCTCTGAAATGCTGCATTATTTGGAAATGGGTCATAGGTCAGTGTTTGTGTTTGGACAAGCAACTGAATTTGATACTTCGGGTTTGGGTTCAAGGTGTTGTCATGATCTTGTGGCACTCATGTCAAAAAATTGACATCTTGAATATTAAATTGCGATCTTGTAAGGAAAAATATAAGAAAAACGAACAGAAATGTATGAATTGTGATATCAATGATTCGCTGATTCCTAACATTTTTGCCACTATCTTACCGAAGTGAAAATATTTAAAAAAATCCCCCTGTTTCTCCTCGTTGTGCTACCGGAACCCCTTTTGCACTGCTGCCACCAGTCCTTCCGACTTCAGGCAGGCGGGGGAAGTGGTGGTTTCAGCGCTGACAACCCACAATTACATTGATCATTCTTTAACAAAATCAGAACCATATAGCTTCCATGGTTTGGTTGTCATGGTCATCTCTCTCTTGTAATGCACTGGCTGCCCACAACAACATTGACTATGCTTTGGCTGGCATGTTCTT